AATCATCCTTGCATTCTAAGAATAAATTCCACTTGGCCATCTGGTATTTAATGTGTGATCTAATTCAGTTTGCTAGTATTTTGTTGAGGATTTGCTAGTTGGCTCATCACAAATATTGGCCTGTAATTTTTTTTTTTCCTCATAGTGTCCTCTTCTGACGCTAGTATCAGAGTAATAATGTCTTCTTCAAATGCATTTAGAAGTGTATTCTCCTGGCCGGGCGAGGTGGCTCATGCCTGTAATCCCAGCACTTTGGGAGGCCGAGGAAGGCAGATCACCTCAGGTCAGGAGTTCAAGACCAGCCTGGACAACGTGGTGAAACCCTGTCTCTACTGAAAATACAAAAATTAGCCAGGCGTGGTGGTGTGTGCCTGTAATCCTAGCTACTCAGGAGGCTGAGGCAGGAGAATTGCTTGAACCTAGGAGGTGAAGGTTGTAGTGAGCCGAGATCACACCACTGCACTGCACTCCAGCCTTGGAGACAGAGCGAGACTCTGTCTCAAAAAAAAAAAGAAGCATACTCTCCTCTTCCATTCTTTTGGGAAGACTTTTTTGTATTATTTCCATTTTATTTATCTATTTAAGACAAGATCTTGCTGTGTCACCAAGGCTGGAGTGAAGTGGCACGACCTCAGCTCATTGCAACTTCCACCTCCCAGGCTCAAGTGATCCTCCCACCTCAGCTTCTCCAGTAGCTAGGACTGCAGGTATGTAGCACCATGCCTGGCTATTTTTTTGTACTTTTAGTAGAGATGGGGTCTCACTATGTTGCCCAGGCTGGTCTCGAACTCCTGAGCTCAAGTGATCTGCCCGCATCAGCCTCCTAAACTGCTGGGATTACAGGCATGAGCCACTGCACCTGGCCTATTATTTCCATTTTAAATGTTCTGTAGCCTTCCCCAGTAAAGTCACCTAGTACTGCCTTTTCTTTGGTAGCATGTTTTGTTACTGATTAAATCTCCTTACCTATTAGTAGTCTTTTCATTTTCAGTTTCTTCATGATCCAATCTTTGTAGATTGTGTGGGTATAGGAATTTATTCCTATAACCAAGGTTATCCAATTTCTTTTTTAGGTTATCAAATTTTATTGGCTTATAATTTTTCATAGTAGTCTCATGATCATTTGTGTTTCTTTGGTATCAGTGGTAATGTGTCACCTTTCATTTCTGATTTTATTTGTTTGAGTTTTCTCTCTTTTTTTCTTAGTTTTTCTAAGGGTTGTTCATTTATTTATCTTTTAAAAAAACAGACTTAGTTCATTGATTTTTTTCTATTGTTTCTCTAGTCTATATCTTATTTATTTCTACTGTGATCTTTACTGTTTTCTTGCTTTTACTGACTTTGCATTTGGTTTGTTTTTCTTTTTCTCTTGAGGTGTGAAATTGCGTTATTTGATCTATTTCTTTTTTCTTAATATAGGCATTTATTGCAACAAACTTCACTCTTAAACTGCTTTTGCTGTATCCCGTAACTGTTGATATGTTGCTTTTTAATCTTCATTTGTGTCAAGATATGTATATTTTTAAATTTTTAATTTCTGTGGGTACATAGTAGGTATACATATTTATGGGGTACATTAGATATTTTGATACATGCATACAATGTGTAATAATCGTATCAGGGTAAATGGGATACCTATCACTTCAAGCATTTGTCCTTTGTGTTATAAGAAATCCAATGATACTCAGTTATTTTAAAAGGTACAATTAATTATTATTGCATATGGTCACCCTGTTGTACTATCAAGTACTGGGTCTTATTTATTCTTTCTAACTATATTTTTATACCAATAAATGTCCTCACTTCTCCCCACCCCTACCACCCTTCCCAGCTTCTGGTAATCATCATTTCATTCTCTATCTCCATGAGTTTAATTTTTTTTTTTGAGATGAAGTCTTGCTCTGTCACCCAGGCTGGTGTGCGGCTGTGGGATCTCAGCTCACTGCAACATCTGCCTCCCGGGTTCAAGTGATTCTCCTGCCTCAACTTCCCAAGTGGTTGGGATCACAGGCATGTGCCACCACACGCAGCTAATTTTTGTATTTTTAGTAGAGATGGAGTTTTACAATGTTGGCCAGGCTGGTATCGAACTCCTGACCTCAGGTAATCCATCTGCCTCAGCCTCCTGAAATGCTGGGATTACAGGCGTGAGCTACTGCACCCGAATGAGTTCAATTATTTTAATTTTTAGCTCCCACAGTAAGTGAGAACATGTGAAGTTTATTGTTCTGTGCCTGGCTGATTTCTCTTAACGTAAGGTCCTCCAGTTCCATCCATGTTGTTGCAAGTGACAGGATCTCATTCTTTTTATGACTGAATGGTAGTCCACTGTGTATATGTGACATTTGTTTTCATCCAGTCATCTGTTGGCGGACAGTTAGGTTGCTTCCAAATTTTGGCTATTATGAATAGTGCTTCAATAATAAAATCTTTCTGTTATTGATTTCTAATATTATACTATTGTGATAAAAAGATACATAATATGATTTCAAACTTTTAAAATTTGTTAAGAGTCGTTTTGTGGCCCAATATATGATCTATGTTGGAGAATGTTCCTGTGCCCTTGAGAAGAATGTGTTCTTCTACTGTTTGGCAAAATAATCTATCTATGCCTCTTCAGTCCATTGGGTCTATAGTTACTCACATCTACTGTTTCCCTACTTACTTTCTGTTTGGATGGATTATCTGGTGCTGAAAGTGGGATACAGTAGTCCCCTACTGTTCTTATATTTCTATAAGTTTCTTCCTTCATTTCTGTTAATATTTGCTTTATATATTAGGTGCTCCAATGTTGTCATGTATTTGACGATTGTTACACCTCTTTATAAATTGATCTATTATTATATAGTGATCTTGTCTCTTATGACAAAATTTGACCAAAAGTCTAATTGTCTGCAATGAGTATACCTGCCCTGTCCTCTTTTGCCTATAATTTGGGTGGAATATCTTTTTCTTTTTCTTTTTTTTTTTTTTTTTGAGACAGAGTCTTGCTCTATCACCTAGGGTGGAGTACAGTGGTGTGATCTCGGCTCATTGCAACCTCCACCTCCTGGATTCAAGAGATTCTCCTGCCTCAGCCTCCTGAATAGCTAGGATTAAACGTGCCCACCACCATGCATGGCTAATTTTTTTTTTTTTGTATTTTTAGTAGAGATGAGGTTTCACTGTGTTGGCCAGACTGGTCTTGAACTCCTGACTCAAGAGATTCTCCTGCCTCAGCCTCCTGAGTAGCTGGGATTAAATGTGCCCACCACCATGCATGGCTATATTTTTTTTTTTTTTTGTATTTTTAGTAGAGATGAGGTTTCACTGTGTTGGCCAGACTGGTCTTGAACTCCTGACCTCAAGTGATCCGTTTGCCTTGGCCTCCCAAAGTGCTGGGATTACAGGCAGGAGCCACCACGCCCAGCCATCTTTTTCTATTCGTTCACTTTTAGTCTAAGTGTGTCTTTAAGGCAAAAGTGAGTCTCTTGTAAGCCACATATTATTGAGAATTGTTTTTTTATTCATTCTGCTACTTTGTGTCTTGTGATTAGTGGGTTTAATCTGTTTACTTTTAAAGTAATTTTTATAGGTAAGGACTTACTATTATCATTTTATTAATTGTTTTCTGACTGTTTTGTGGTTCCTTTGTTTCTCTCTTTCTGTCTTCCTTTGTGATTTGTTGGTGTTTTTGTAGTGGTAGGCTTTGATTTTTTTTTTTTTTGAGATGGAGTTTTGCTCTTGTTGCCCAGACTGGCGTGCAATGGTGCAATCTCGGCTCACTGCAGCCTCCACTTCCCCGGTTCAAGCAATTCTCCTGCGTCAGCCTCCCAAAGAGCTGAGATTACAGGCATGCGCTGTCACGCCCGGCTAATTTTTTTTTATTTTTTGAGATCGAGTCTTGTTCTATTGCCCAGGCTGGAGTGCAGTGGCGAAGTCTCAGCTCCCTGCAACATCCACCTCCCCAGTTCAAAGTATTCTCCTGCCTCAGCCTCCTGAATAGCTGGGATTACAGGCACCCGACATCATTCCCGGCTACTTTTTGTATTTTTAATAGAGACGGGATTTCACCATGTTGGCCACGCTAGTCTTCAACTTCTGACCTCAGGTGATCCACTGCCCCGGCCTCCCAAAGTGCTGGGATTACAGGCATGAGCCTCTGGTCCTGGCCTCTAATTTTTTCTTTATATTTTGTGTATCAATTACAAAAGTATGGAATTTTGGAATTGTGGCCACCATTATATAAAAACTGTGGGTGGTAATTGTTTCGGGGTGAGTTGCTGCACCAGGCCCCAACAGATCAGGCCAAACCAGTGTGAAGTCAAGTTTTTATTTTATTATTATTATTATTTGGTGTTAAACAGCTTTAATCTTGGTCATCGCGGTTTCTCGGCACAGTAATAAATACTGCACATGATCAACATGTTCTGTTCTGGGGAAGGGGGCAAGGGCAGGGGGAATCACCTTCTTAGAAAGTACAACCCAAGTTGGAAGGGCAGGAAGGGGTGGGGAGAAAACCCTCGTGGTGCCTGTGGCAAAGTGCAGGAGCCCCCACCCCCAAACTAACCTGAGTCCAGCCCCTCTGGGGAAAAAAGGGGTGCATGAACTACCCCTATTCCACAGGTACTTTCTGTGGCCTAAGGCCTGCACCACACTCTAGCTTGCAGCCCTGGCAGGAGCTATGTTGCATTAAGTGAAAAGCTCTGAAGGTCACACACTCTAGGTTATGTACAGGGGCTCGGAGAAGGGAGACTGCCCCTGCAGCCCCCCAGCTGCCTCTGGCACCAGGAGGGAGCTGCAGGGGTAGGGGATATATAAAAGAGGAGCAGGCTTCATTCCATCCTAAACTGGAAAGGATGAAATGGCTTTACCCGGGAGGAGATAACCATCCTATGCTATCCCCACATACTGTCTGTGTCCTCAGAGGGTACTATGAGTCCTGGGATCTTCTCTGGGGTCCCCCACCTACCTGTGGTAGCTGTGTGATGGACCCAGGGGTGGGGGGCAGAGCTGGGGAGTCCCCTTTCAGCCAGGCTGTTCAGGCTGTCTGGGGCAGAAGCAGTGGTGGGGCGGCCTGGGTGGAGCCAGAATCCAAGCCGGGTGAGGTGGGGTCAGGACCCCCGTGGGGCTGGGAGTCTGGGTAGAGGCAGCTATGGTGCCAGTTGGGGGCGGTCCAGGCGGGGAAGCCTCAGCCCTGGGGGCTTCTCCGTGGGAGTGGCCACTGCATGATCTTCTGGGCACCTCACAGATCTTCAACTGCAGGTGAAACGGATGCTGGTGGTGGGTGCGGGGCCGCTAGGAGCCACTGCCTGGGTCCCAGAGGCTGGTGCTGGGGCAGGTGTAGCCTGAAGCTGCTGGGACCGCGTGGGCAGGATGTTCTGCACACAAACCTTGGAGGGGAAGATGTATGCATAGCAGGCCTGGAGGGTGGCTGTGGCCTGGGGGACGGGAAGAAGCTGTGGTCCTGGAAGAGCTGCATGACCAGGGCCCGCATTGGTCCAGCGCCCGCAGTGAGGAGGACCGCACCTTCTCAGACTCCGGCTCCCTGAGCCAGTCCTTGGTTTCTCTACCTGTACAGTTTCTCTACCCAAGGGGTGAGGGCCGTAGGGGGCCCTTTCTGCTGCCCTGACCATACTCCTGGGCCTTGAACGTTCCTGGGCCCAGTGAGAAGGAGGTGGCTGCCGAGTTGAGGAGGAAGCATCCGAGTACATGGAGGAGGAGGACAGGGTGGGACCATAGCCTTTGCCAAGGATGCAGGTGGATCGGGGGACCCTGGGGGCTCAGGGTCCAGCAAGGGGTGGCAGGGGATAAAGGAGGAACAGATGACAGGTGCAAACACCTTCCCACCAAAGCCCTTGTTGCTCTCTTGGTCCTCCCCAGAGCTGTATGCACTCTCACTGTCAGTCACCTGCTCCTTGTACTTGAGATCAATGTCAGTGGTGCTGAAGCCATCGTCAGCAATGACATCATCACCCCTTCCTCCTCACAGATGACCATGTGCTCCTCGTCACTTGCTGTGTCCTCACTGGCCACATGCTGGGAATGAGAAGCTCAGGTGGGCAGCAGCGGGGCTGCCCACTGGCCACCAAGGCACCTCCCTCACCAGGGGCTGCCAAGGGGCCTGGAGCTCCATACTGGGTAGGAGGCTTTGGGCCAGAGTCCGATGCAGCACCAGACACCACTTGCATCAGTTCCTGTAGTGCCTGATGGTCACTTCCCCGCCATCCAGGCTGCGTACCCCACTGTGGGAGAAGGCTTGGGGCCCAGCTGAGCCAGGTTCCCTGTGTGCAGCCGTTTTGCCCCATAGAAGCTGCTCCTTGGTATCCCAGCTCAGGAATGTCTGGGATACAACTGCCAGAGGACACCCCAGGGGCAGTGGCAATGCCCATCTCTGACATGCTCTGCTCCTGCAAGCCCTTGTACCCTCCTGCTAGCCCCTGGCTTGTGGGCTTGGCCTCTGAGCTGGACTTTGTTCGGTCCTTGTTGCAAGTGGGCCACCTTCACCTGGGAGGTCAGGTCATGGTACTTCTGCATCTCATTGGGCCCCAGGGTGTTCCACCACTCACCCAGGATCTGGCTGATGGTCCAGTTGTCCTGGTTGGGGTGACACTGGTGGGCCCCACCAGGGCCTGGTGCCACTTGCTGAAGATCATGACTGCCACTCATGGGCCACTGGATGTGGTCCTTGTCCCATTTGTTGGGGCTGCATCCATCCTTCTCAGATGAGTCCTGTTCTTTGGGCAGGGCACTGAGGGACTGGGCCTGACACCTCTGGGTAGTAGAGGCAACTGGGTGTCAGAAGACATGACAGAGAGGAAAGCATCATCATGGTCAGTCTCTGTCTCACTGTCTAGCAGGGGCTCCCCTGAGGGGCCCAGGGCTCCTCGTCTGTGGTGGGAGGTGGGCCAGGTTCCACCATCCACAAAGTGTATGGGGGTCCAAGCCCTGGGCTTTCAGGGCAGGTGGTTCCAGGGGGCCGCCCAGGGTCAGCACTCCCTGTCCCACCTGGTGGATGCTCATGAGCAACAACTGCCAACTCGACAGGTTCTTTTGTCTGGTCGGAGGCCACTGAGTGACTGGCAGGTTGCTGGGCCTCATGTGACTGCAGGGAGGGGTCAGGAAGGGGACACAGTACCAGGGGAACACAGCCACAGAGCAAGGTTCCACGTTCCTCTACACAAATGAGCCAAGGCCACGGGAGGCCTCGCTGGATGCAAGCATCAGGGGCCTGTGGGCTGAGTGCATGGTCTGGGCAGGGGGTTCCTGGCAGGGGCTCACACCTCCTCAGCCCCCTCCTCAGCCAAGGTGGCTTGGGCCCAGAGAAGGGGGGTGGGAGGAGAGTAGGAGGCCAGGCCTCAAGTTTTTTTTTTTCTTTTTTTGAGATGCAGTTTGGCTCCTGTCACCCAGGCTGGAGTGCAGTGGCACAATCTCAGCGGCTGCCACCACACCTGGCTAATTTTTTGTATTTTTAGTAGTGATGGGGTTTTACCATGTTGGCCAGGCTGGTCTTGACCTCCTGACCTCAGGTGATCCACCCACCTCGGCCTCCCAAAATGGGATTACAGGCATGAACCACTGCGTACAACTTCATTCTTTGATTTTTACTTGAAAAACTCCCTTAAGCATTTTTTTAAGGTAGACCTAGTGGTCCTGCATTCCCTCAGCTTTATTTGTCGAGGAAACATGTTATTTCTTCTTTCTTTCGGAAGGATAGCTTTGTCAGACATAGTATTAGTTGTTGGCAGTTTTTTTCTTTCAGCACTTTGAATGTATTATTTGATTCTCTCTTGACCTGCAAAGTTTCTTCTGAGAAATCTGCTGATAGTCTAATGAAGATTCTCTTGTGTATGTCATGCCACTTTTCTCTCGCCTCTTCAACATTTTAAAAAATCTTTGACTTTTGACTATTTGATTATATTGTGACTTTGTGAGTATCTATTTGGTTTGAACCTCTTTAGGAATCTTTAGGCTTCATGTATTTGGTTGTCTAAATCTTTCCCATGATTTAGGCAGTTTTTAGCCATTCTTTCTTTAAATAAGCTTTCTTCTCCTTTCTCTACTTTCTTTGTCAAACTCCCATAACCTGACAGTGGTTTGCCTAATGGTGTCTCATTGGCTTTCTTTTCTCTCTCTCTCTCTCTGTCTCTTTTTTGAGATGGAGTCTCTCTCTGCTGCCCAGGCTGGAGTGTATTGGTATAGTCTTGGCTCACTGCAACCTCTGCCTCCTGGGTTCAAGTGATTCTCCTGCCTCAGCCTCCCAAGTAGCTGGGACTACAGGTGTGTGCCACCACACCCAGCTACTTTTTGTATTTTTAGTAGAGATGGGGTTTCACTATGTTGGCCAGGCTGGTCTTGAACTCCTGACCTTGTGATCTGCCTGCCTTGGCCTACCAAAGTGCTGGGATTACAGGCGTGAGCCACCACGCCCGGTCTTCTTTTCTCTTTTTTATTATTTTATTCTTTGTCCTCTGACTGGATAATTTCAGAAGATCTATATTCAATTTTACAGATGCTCTTTCCTGTTGAAGTTTACTATTGTGTTATATTGCCCAGTCTGGTCTTGAACTCCTGGGCTCAAGCGATCCTTCTGCCTTGGCCTCCCAAAGTGCTGAGATTACAAGCATAAGCCACTGCATTCAGTCACTCCCAGCACTTTGGGAAGCTGAGGTGGGAGGATCACTTGAGCTCAGGAGTTTGAGACCAGCCTGGGCAACATAGTGAGACCTTGTCTCTATATTTAAAAAAAGACAGAAAGAAAGAAAGTATTTGGGAGGCCAAAGCAGGAGGATCACCTGAGGTCAGGAGCTCAAGACCAGCCTGGCCAACATGGTGAAACCCCGTCTCTACTAAAAGTACAAAAATTAGCCGGGCATGGTGGTGCGTGCCTGTAGTCCCAGCTTCTCGGGAGGCTGAGGCAGGAGAATCATTGGAACCAGGAAATGGAGGTTGCAGTGAGCCAAGATTGTGCCACTGTACTCCAGCCTGGGCAACAGAGTGAGACTCCATCTCAAAAAAGGAAAAAAGAAAGAAAAGAAAAATTCCGTATCTAAGTGTTTACTTCTGAGTTTTTGAGATTGTTATTAAGATCATGCTCTCCTCTGATGATTTGGGTTTGTTTGATCAGAAAAAAGCATGTTCTTCTGGGTGTTCAGCCACACTGTGCTTTGGTGTCACAACTGCACATTGGTTTCACAGCTGCAGGACAAGTTCGAGCATCTTAAAATGATTCAACAGGAGGAGATAAGGAAGCTCGAGGAAGAGGAAAAACAACTGGAAGGAGAAATCATAGATTTTTATAAACTGAAAGCTGCCTCTGAAGCACTGCAGACTCAGCTGAGTACCGATACAAAGAAAGACAAACATCGTAAGAAATAATAGTTTCTCTTACTATTCTGTTTGAGAGCCCTATCATTCTACATCCCAACTTTCTGTGAGATTGTCTTTGTAGCATTTAACTCTGATTGAAATTCTCATTTTAAAAATTGGCTTGCTTATTGTATATTTTCCCCAACTAAAGTGTGAACTCCTAGCAGGGCGTGGTGGCTCATGCCTATAATCCCAGCACTTTAGGAGGCTGACGCGGGTGGACCACCCGAGGTCAGGAGTTCAAGACTAGCCTGACCAAAATGATGAAACCCTGTCTCTATTAAAAATACAAAAATTATCTGGGCGTGGTGACTGGTACCTGTAATCCCAGCTACTTGGGAGGCCGAGGCAGGAGAATCACTTGAACCCCGGAGGTAGAGGTTGCAGTGAGCCAAGAACTCACCATTGGACTCTAGCCTGGGTGACAAGAGCAAAACTCCGCCTCAAAAAAAAAAAAAAAAGGTGTGAACTCCCAGAAGGCAGGTCCTGTGTCCATCTTTTTAGATTCTGTATCTCGGCACTTAGGACACAGACTAACACGAAGATGATAGTCAATCAATTTTTGCCAAAATGAAAAAACAAAAGAAACATGTAACATCGTGTAAAAGGAGCTGGTTAGGTGGAGAAATTTCTTTACCATAGTCCTGCTTGTGGATCCAGTAGTGACTTACATTTTATATCCAAATAGAAGCTGGAGGCTTTGTTGGGGACTCACAGGCATAAAATATTAAGTTACACAAATCTAATTAATAGGCCTATTTTCCTTTTTAAATTCTACTAATAATTTCTTGATAGTTTTTATGATAAACGGTTGGATTTTGATGAGAACTCCCATGCTTTTGTGTCAGACTTAAAACTGATATTAGAATGAAGAATTCAAAAGCTAGAGAAAGTCAGAGTACAGTGAGAAGCCATGAGTTGCATCTGAATGATAATATTATGTCTTACAGATTTGGAGTATATGCTAAAGTTATCAAAGTTGTAGAAAATAAGGCCGGGTGAGGTGGCTCACACCTGTAATCCCAGCACTTTGGGAGGTGGAGGTGGGCAGATCACTTGAGGTCAGGAGTTTAAGACCAGCCCAGCCAACATGGCAAGACCCCATCTCTACTAAAGTTAGCCAGGTGTGCTGTTGTGCATCTGTAGTCCCTGCTACTTGGAAAGCTGAGGCAAGAGAATCGCTTGTACCCGGGAGGCAGAGGTTGCAGTGAGCAGAGATTGTGCCACTGCACTCCAGCCTGAATGACAGAGCGCTATGAGTCACCACACCTGGTATGAGCCACTATGCCCAGCCCACAATGACTTTTATACATGTTGTTAAATCATCTTACAGATTTTATAATTTGGGGGAAGAAAACTTTTACTAAATGGTCTTTTAATGGAAACTCTACAAGAACCAGAATCTTTGCTTTGTTCACTTATGTATTCTTTCCTAGGCCTAGAACAATATCTGACACATAGCGGCGATTATTTGTTGAATAAATGGACCCAGCAATAGTACATTAGCTATACTATATGCATACATTAAAGATGTAGATTATTGACTTTCAAAAGATAATTAATGTAACTTCTTACTGCTTCTGAACATGCTTGTGAGTTACATTGCTGAGGGACCTTTATCTTCTCATTCTTTCATCTTAACCCAATGTTATTAAAACTGAAATCAACAATATTATTCATATTTAAAAATAATATCTACCTTATAAAAATTATCACTCTGCTGCATTTGAGAATAGACTTTTTAGGTAATAATGGTATAATCCATAGGGTTTTTGAGGGCACAGAAGGATTCATGCTAACAGACATTTTATTTTCTATTTTCCAAGAGCTATAAAATATGATATTATATGATAGTATAAGGCATATTTTTACTGTTTTCATAATTTTTTCTAAAAAAGTGTTTGTTTTCCATATAACTTTTAACTTTGTAAGTAAATATTTGTCTCTTTCAGCTCCAGTTTTATGTGAAATAGAATTTCCAGATTTATGTAGCATGGAAAATTTTAATAAGTCAGAGTTACTGATTTTTGCCAGTCATTTTCTCAATTATTTACTTCTTTTATCTTTAGTTGATTTTTTTTGTAGTGACAAGTTTTGCTTCTATTCTCGTTTCCTTTTGTGTATATTCTATGCATATTTCATTTTTGGTTACTATGAAAATTACATATAACATCCTAGAGTTTTAACATTCTAATTTGAATTTATTTCAACTTAACTTCAATCACATACCAAAATTCTACTGCTATATAGCTCTACTCTTTTTAGGTTATTGATGTAACAAATTATATCTTTATTCATTGTACACCACCTAACAGATTTATAATTACATTTTATGCATTTTTCTTTTAAATCTTATAGAAAATAAAAAGTGGAGTTACAAACCAAAATTACAATAATACTGTTTTTATGTTTGTTTATGTATTTACCTTTACCAGAGAGCTTTATATATTCATATAGCTTGCTTATTTACTTATAGCATTAATGCCTAGAGTTTATTTATTTCAACCTGAAGGACTTTTAACACTTCTTATATCGCAAATTTAGAGATAAATGGATTTTTTCAGCTTTTTAAAAAAAGTTGGAAATGTCTTAATTTCTCTCTCATTTTTGAGGACAAGTTTTCCAGCTACAGATTTCTCAATTGACAGGTTTCTTCATTATTTTAAATATATAATCTACTGCCTACTGGCCTTCCAAGTTTTCTGCTGAGAAATCAGCTGCTAATGTTATCTGGATCCCTTGTCTGTGAGAGTTGTTCTTCTCTCTGAGCTTTCAAGATTCTCACATTGTCTTTTTTTGTTGTTGTTTTTTGAGGCAGAGTCCTGCTTTGTCACCCAGGCTGGAGTGCAGTGGTGTGATCTCAGCTCACCGAAACCTCT